ACAAGAAGAGCCCGTGCAAAGGCCCAGAGCTGTCAAATGGCTTGTTGGCCTATGGGAGTTGGACTCCTAGAATACAGGATGAGTGAGGAGGGCATCATTGCAGTTTCCCCAAAATTAACATGAGTGCTCACCCAGGCAAATTGGACTGCCCCCTGAAAACAAGAAATCTGCCAGTAGATGATTATCTGTGGACAAGGTACTTTGCGCACCTCGCGGCTGTATACTCAGCTCCCTGCCCAGTGCTTCGTCTGTTAAAGGACCGTGTTGTCTGGGGGGCCAAAGTCAGGTAGGTACCCATTACATTGATCATCACACAAAAGCCCTCAACTAGAGTCTGGACTCTTCAAGCAGCTATAGCCAGAGGCCTGTTACTTCATCTGTTTATATGTTTCCTTAGCCTTACATAGAATAAGCACTTTAGCCCTGATCAAAGGTGACCTATTCAGGTGCCTACAAGCAGCCAGGCACATAATGAAAGTGAGTGACAAACTATAAGGCAGGGTGCGAACTGAGGCAAGTTGGAGACAGAGAACTCAAGCCCCCATCTGCAAAGGGTAATTCCAGGCAGTTGTCATGCAGTGACGTGAACCAGCGTTGCTGGGTTTTTAAGGAAAACCAGCAATCCAGACTCTTCATGTGAAATCTCTAAATTTAAAATTTATTCATTCAACAAATAACTGTTGAGTGGGCCAGGTACTCTTATAAGCAACGGGGATAAAGCAGTGGACAAAACTGGCAAAAATCCCTGTCCTCATGGAACTTCTCTTTTAGTGACTAATGAACAAGTAAGTCATATATTTCATGTATCAGGTGGTGATCAGTGCTGTGATCAAAAATAAAGCAGGGGGGCTTCCCTGGTGGCGCAGTGGTTGAGTCCGCTTGCCGATGCAGGGGACACGGGTTCGTGCCCCGGTCCGGGAAGATCCCACGTGCCGCGGAGCGGCTGGGCCCGTGAGCCATGGCCGCTGAGCCTGCGCGTCCGGAGCCTGTGCTCCGCAACGGGAGAGGCCGCAGCGGTGAGAGGCCCGCGTACCGCAAAAATAAATAAATAATTTTTTTAATTGAAAAAATTTAAAAAATAAAGCAGGGAAGGGGAGGAGGGACTAGAGAGTGTTAGGGGTGAGGCTACGGTTTTAAGTAGGACAACCGTGTCAGTTTTTTGTTTTTTTTTTTGCTGTACGCGGGCCTCTCACTGCCGTGGCATCTCCCGTTGCGAAGCATAGGCTCTGGACGCGCAGGCTCAGCGGCCATGGCTCACGAGCCCAGCCGCTCCGCGGCATGTGGG